ACCCCCCCCCCAAAAAAAAACCCGCACGTCTTCAAATATTTTTGACCTCACATGTGCACAAAATATGCAGAGAAAAGAACGGTTCGGTACGATTTTTCCTACACAAACTACTACATTAAGATGCAATTTTTAACTTAAAACCGCTACAATTGTAAATAGATTCACCAAAAAGGAGAAATCTTAACTACTTGTCAAAATAGTTCTGTTGATGTCTCACAACACTAACTCTCAGGCCGCCGCCATCTTTGTCACCTTTGACCTTATTGAGGGACAAATCTTTGTAAAGGGGGAGGGGTGTAAGTTTTCCACACAGCAAAAGTTGCAGTGTAAAACACAGCAAAAGTTGCAGTGTAAAACACAGCAAAAGTTGCAGTGTAAAACACAGCAAAAGTTGCAGTGTAAAACACCAAAAGTTGCAGTGTAAAACACCAAAAGTTGCAGTGTAAAACACCAAAAGTTGCGGTGTAAAACACCAAAAGTTGCGGTGTAAAACACCAAAAGTTGTGGTGTAAAATTTTGTACTTGTCGGCCACGGTAATATTGTTTTACATAATGGCGCTTTTTAATACTAGTACCCAGAATTCTTTGAGCGCATTGCGCAATCGAACATCAGACGACAAGGAGCAAGAAAATTGCCGATTTAAGGCTTTCTTCGTATTTTCTATACGAAGACTGACGTAATCAATAACTTAAACCAATGACATTATACTGTCCTTGCTTAATCAGGTCCGTAAGATGAAAAATAGTTATGCTGCAATAACAACCAAGGTCGCTAGAAGACTCTTTTTATGGCTGTCATTTATTGGGGGACAAATTGTTATTTTATGTAACCATAATGTGAGTATTACATATATGAGTAAGGTACACTGAGAGATGTTTAAAGCGTGTTTGAAGGTCTACGTTGTTCCTGATACATCATATTTACGTTTTAAAAATGTTTTGATATCAAAGCGAAACTACGAAAACCACGCTCTACTTTCTCAGCTCTTGGTTCCCGTGCTGGAAGTGCTGGAAGTGCTGGAAGTGCTGAATGGTCGCCAGATCTGGCTGGGCTTCCAGGATCTTCCAGTGCCGAGTCAGCACTGGAAAAGCTGACATCAGCACTGGAAACCGAGTACTGATGAAATTTCTGTTCTGGAAACGGACTGAATACGGTCTCCAATCAGTCCAGCCCTTTTCAGAGCCACCCAAACTTACTCACAAAAGGGCTAACGTTGAACGTCCTTGGTTATATCTAACAGTTACACACAATCATACAATGAAAATCTTTCATGGTCAGAAATCCCTCATTCTCGGTCGTTATCACTTACATGTATACCCGTATCTTGTTGTTTACGAAAATTAACGAAACAAGCTTAAAAAAGCTGGCCTTGGCCTCTAGAAGGAGCGGCGAAATATTTATAACAACTCAATAAGTGTTTGCCCATAATTATTGGCATCAGATAAACCATCCTACAGTAAGAAAGGCCTAAAAGGAAAGACGTAACCATTGACAAACGTTATTTTTTTACATACACAAGTATTGTTTAATAAAGTACATATTTACAGAACACTTCAGTCATGTAAGTAAGGATCAAGTCTTATAACAAGCGTTCAATCATTAACATAATTTATGCAATTGATTCATCTTGTCGATTACTAGTACTTCATGGAGTTAGAAGGGAGACTCCCTTGTAACTCCATGATTACCGTTTCTTGCATAATTTTGGGCATACAAAAACACAAACTAACGTCCTTAAGTTTGTCATATAACCATAACAATAACATAATTATGATCTAGAAGGTAATGAAAAGTACACAATCATTCAGGGAAGCATTTATGCAAGGATCAACAGTGACATCTAGCGACATTTAGCAGAACGTCATTTAGCAGAATGTCATGTCTGAAGTCTGGTTCGCCCGCCCGCCCGTCTTGCGATCCGTCTGCCGTCGCTCCTAGCCTCCTTCGCAGACTTCTGATGCGGCGGCGCTAATTTTTTGCAACAGTATAACGTATGATCTAAATACAAGTATTGTCTAGATAATCCTGAGGCTTTCTGGTAAGATAGATGCTCAAAACATTATGCTAGGACCAATTTTATGCCCAAAATAAAATTTACATTAAATTTATGTTATACTCTTGCACTTATAATTAAAAATTGGCAATTTTTAATAAGCCATTAGGTACCTAAGTTCTGACCCAAAGATTAGGTTTGACTGGCCGCGCAGTTCGGAGGGAAAGAAACTACCTCCCCGTGGCCGGAGTCCCTTGGAATTTTGCCGAATTCTACGATCCGTATTCCCGTAGAAAGGCGTGGTGGAGGCTAGACAAGATGGTCAAGAAGGGTCCGTCTCGCCAATGGTGGGCAAACACTCCTTCGAAAGTCGGACCTCTTGGATCGATGTCGGGAGGATGCGGTTGACCAATGCGGTAGTCCACTAACCGTGGACCAATTATTTGCCATTTACCGTGACCTTTTACAGACCAATAATCAAAAGACGCCCTGGTAGACGACATTATTTCTTATGTGATGTGATTAAAATTGCACGGCCATATATGTAATGTCACTGTCGGACCACACAACGAACCACACAACGTTAACGTTCACATAAACTTCACAACAAATTACATTTATAGAGTTTGCGAATATACTACTGGGGATGGTACCCAGGCTACCTGCAATTAGCCCTCGGGCATGTTATATTGCCCGGTGCAATTGGAGCAAATTCCTAGAACTTAGTAGAAGTACCATCAATACCATTTCAATAGTATGACTTGTGGTATGATCTAGCACACTGACAGTATCTGTTTCCGTATGCACAATGATCGGCATCCCGAGTCCCAAAGTAACCAAGGAGCTTCCGGTGATGCCCTGCTTCTTGGGGTAACCGAACCCAGCCGCGGAGTGATACATCCATCACATCGAGTCGGGGTCACATTCGTACAGGGTCATGGTGTAACGGCGGTTGGCAGCTGGAAGTTCCAGTCTCACATGATCGTCCCATCAAGCCACCATTCACACCAGTTTCACCAACAAGACAGTCCTGGAACTTGCCAATCTAAAGTAAGGTAAATTTTGCTTCTGTTCTGCCTATTTGTGGAGATAATTTACGATGGTTTCGGTGATGAGGCGGAATCCTACACGCTGGAAAAAAATTATGTAGGTCACCCATAGACAGTCACTCAGCTGCCCGTAGTGAGTTCGCATGGTGGGACCTCATAATCTTCCCTCAAAACGCACTGACCACATGGCGAACTCACGACCGCTTGCTAGACATAGAGTATACTACATAACTTTTACCTCGATCCATATCCGTTTCCATATGGCAAGCAACACAGCCCCAGGGCAAAATCACTGTAACGGGAGGGGTACTAATTCCGACCCATGTTCCATGCAAACGCACATTCCTTTGGTAATAGTTTGTCTGACCAAAACCCCGCGCAACATGAGCTTTAATATTGACAGATAAAGATAACAACTATTAAAGCTGTACAAGCTGTGTATTTCACTTCAGGGCAGCGCCATGCACCCAGGCGGCAAAATGACCAAAAACCTGCCTTGTATCGCGAACCAAAAACTTATTAATTAAGGAGGACTGTCTGGCAAAAGTGTTATCTGGCAAGTCTGCGCACCTTGCTTTGGCATGGATGGCATGCTCTGATTTTCTGTCAGTCTGGCATTCAACAATTTTTCAATAATACTTAACTTTCAGGGCAGCAAATAACATGGTACATTCATGTACATCAGGCATGGAATTAAAGCAAAATGACCAAAATGAGTTCGCATTGTGCTTCACTAAGAATTTCCTGACAGAGCTTATCACCTGAAGAGTTAGTCAGTGACGTTTACCAATGAATTTAGGATAACAAATAACTTGCTAGTGATGTGTACAATTAAAGTGACTACTAAGTTATGCTTCACAAATGATTTACCAACAAAGCTTAACTTCAAAATGAGCTTGCTGACTATTTTTGAACTAGAATAGCTCGCTATGCCTCCCAGAATTTAAAAAGGCATGCAGACCCTCTAGAGAGTAGTCTAAAAGTCACTTGAAATCCTTATATGTGTCAAGTGTACTATTATTAGTCCCACAACATAAAGTTCAGTTTGAGTGGCATTTCCTTTCATGTGAACAGGAGTAATTTTACTGAATATAAAAGTTCTGCCATTTTGCTGCTGTCGGTGCTTCAACTACTTCCTTGGAGCGTAATTCTATACTGGTAATTGTATTACAGTCTTGAAGTTCAACTACATTTTCTACAAGCAAGGAGGTTCAAACGAAATTGAACCTTCTAGCTGCTACTAGTAACAACAAGGAGATCGTAGAAAGATAACCTCTTTGTTTGTACTGTTACTTTGATTTAAAAATATGTGCAGTAAATGCTGCAGCGGTGGTATTATTGTTACCTTCGCTAAGAAGATTATGTTTTCAGAGGCGTTCATGTATGTGTGTGTGTGTGTCTGTAGACACAATAACTTGAGAAGGCCTTGATGGATTGTCTTGATATGTGGAAGGTGGGTAGGTCTTGATGAGACTTCAAAATGATCAGATTTTGGGCCACCTGGTGGCTTGTCGTGGTACTGCAGCAGAACTTCATGTTTAGATATCTCATGATCTGGACATGCTAGGATCACGAAATTTAGATGGTAGGTAGCTCTTGTGCTGGGGATGAAGTCCCCCAGCTGCTTGCTCTGGAACTGCAGGGGCGTTTATTTAAAAATGTTTAAAGAAGGATAACTCAAGATCCTATTTGCATAATCACAGGGATGAATATATAAATGACACGTAGTTTATATATGGTTCTCACGTACGAGTACATACCTTCACAGAGCAGACATCCTGTACTTCAACGAAAACACAAGAACAAAAGACAGGTTTGACATTAGGAGCTCCTTTCTAAGCACTTAATACACAGTGACATCTGTTCTTTTGTTATGAGGATGAACACGACCAAGTCTGGAAACGCCAAACAGTATTAGAATGAAGAGCAGGACAAAGCTCAGCACGCAAGTTTGGCTTCTTCTTACCTTCGCTAAGAAGGTTATGTTTGTACAGGGCATAATCACGGGGATTAATATATAATTTCTGAGTCATAAAGGCAAAGGTATGAGATCGTGGAACTATAGTTCTGTTTTGTTTTGTGCATATCTTGTGCACCCAAATTTCAAAAGAAAAGTCAGCAGGTAGGAGCCTTACCAAACAACAGCTCCATATAGCAATTCTTGTAGAAATTGCACCAGGTTAATGACTCTTAAGACCTTTGAATACAACTGATCCGGAAGAAGTAACATCACTGGTTGTTGCAGTGTACTTTATACATGTAATCCCTTTCGTGATGAATGAAGCCAGAAATTTGGAGGGACTGAAATTCACCGAATGGATCTATATCACAAAGGAGGTTTACCTTCCTTGATAAATTGAGAATCCATCAATGCAAGTGTCAAATACAGCTAGCTGTGGAGTTCCAGATTCTATCTTTGATAGTCTATTCTGGGCCTTAATTCTTTTTACTCATGTTTCCTACCATGTAACTGTTAAAGGCTATCACTCCTTTTGAACAGGAGGCATGATACTTGAAATTTACTATATCTTTTGTTTTTGAAAGAACAGAATAAGCCACCCATAAGTCTTTTATAACAAGCTTAGAAAGGCAAGGTCAAGTAGTACCTTGTAGTAAAAGCAATCATTGCATCCATGTTTCCAGAAAATCCAATGACCTGTAACAGTGGAATGATTCTTCTAATAGCCAGGGATATTGGAGTCACTGGTGCAATATCTGGTACCAGCAGTTTGAATTACATCCTGAGAAATCAAATTCTGGACTAAGCCATGTGCTTCCAGACAGTTTGGAAGTGAGGGAAAATTGACTGTTTTCTTCAGTTGCAAGCATGATAATTTGAGGCATGGAACTTGCTTGGAGTATGTTATCTTTTCTGTTGTCTTTTTTGTACAAAACAGTTATTTGGTGTGTGTTACTGGGGTATATGCCTTGTAAAATAAAGGTCTGTTTGTAGCAAAAAAAATCCATCCCACCACTTTGTTCTTGGTAGAGAATTGAAGTACATGATGTACTGGTAAGTCATTCCGATCAAATTGAATGCTCCAACTAAAGTGTAGTGCTTGCAGTGCTACGGTAATTTGGGTACGCAGTTACCCAGAAACACTTTTAGTAGTGAAGTGCAGAAACTTGGATTTGAAGCATTACGCCCTCTATAGGAATTGAATTTAAACTATTGATCATGAATGAAGTAACAAATTGAAAAGAATTAGTCTTGATTTAAAGTCTGCATGTGGGACTTATGCTGTGGTACACATGATGAAATTTCCCTGCTGCATGCAGGATGTCCTGTGTGTGAAATTACTAAATGATTGAATTTGGATGAGATACCGGATTGCTGTGAATTTAACAGCTGGGCCTCACAGTAAGTTTAATGATTCCTTTGTACTCAACTTAGGCTACAGCAAGTAAATATTATGGACGACATCTGAAGTGGGAGTGACGAAAAAAATGCAACTTGGGGAAAAAAACAAGATGCCTAAATCTTTAGAATAGAGACCGCAAACCTTATCACAAGAATTATTGATCTACTAGTGAAGAAACATTGTATCACAGGCACATAGTCTTTATTGTTTTTTGAAGAAGTACAAAAAATGCTTGAGATGTGGCTCTCCTAAAACACTGGACCTTCAGCTTTATGTCACATCTGCGAGGACATCCCTAACCAAAGCTAGTTACAATGTACTCTTTTTCATGATTCATGTGAGGAAAAGTGCCTTTCCCAAGAACATAGCCTTGGGGCCTGCAAAAGCTTTGAACCCAGAACCTTCAGATTCTAGGTTAACACCCTAACAAAAGACCACCATTCTATTTTGCTCCTTTTCATTCTACAGCTGTTTGTTATTTTGTGAGCCAAACAAGTTTCCTTATGAATAAAATGCCAACATCTTTGCTTTGTTCTGTAAACCCGGGCATTACAGAATGATTGTACTGTATCTTAGCAGCTTTCTGTGAAATTGCAGCTTGTCATATTCTAAAGTCTGCTGTTCAATTTCCAAAGTGTATTACTTTTTGAACAAGTATCTGAACAACTAATACTGTTGTTTCATTAATTATTCATGCAAAAATCCCTGTCTTTTGTACATGTGCATGTCCTTGGTGCTGAACTGATATCTACAGGTGCCTTTCCTTGGTGCTCAACTGGCATGTATTGTTGCCTGTCCTTGGTGCTGACCTAATGTCTGGTATCTGTTGGTACTTGTCCTTGGTGCTGAACTGATATCTATTGTTGCCTGTCCTTGGTGCTGAACTGGTATCTATTGTTGCTTGTCCTTGGTGCTGAACTGGTATCTATTGTCACAACTGGTATTTGTTGGGTCCTGATGCCTGCCCTTTGTCTTGAACTGATCTCTGTTAGTTATGACTAACTACCTCAGCTGCCAAACTGAAATCTTTGGTTATTGATGTCTGTCCTTAGTGATGAACTAATATCTGTTGGATAGTGATACCTGTTTCGGATGCTTGGTAACTGATACCTGTCAGTTATTGATATCTGTCTCTGAATATGAATTGATACCTCCTAGGGACTGCTACATCTCCTTGTTCCACATAACGTTAATCTTCAATGATCTGTACCAGTCAATATTCTTCATGTTGAATAGGCAAGGTAGAAACACTCTACCTCTGATCAAATTTCTCCTATCATGAAGATGCTGTTATCATTCCAGCAACGCATGGTGCATACAAAACGTCCTGGTACAGTGGGTGAAAGGGGAGAATTTCTACCATTTGGTTCCTGTCATAATCTATGTATGTTGGCTGGCATTGTTTCTTCACTGACCCGTGTCTATGGGTTAAAATTAAATAATATTCTTACTCATAACCTGAATACCCAGTGCTTGTTTATTGTTTGATTCAGCGAAATGAGTACGCAGTGTGTGTTTAGTGAATAGTTCTGTTTTTTTGATAATGAAGGACATCTTATTATGCTCTTAGTTTATCAAGGAGGTTTAATTTATGACTATAACCTGGACATGAGCACCCAGTGTGTCTTGAATGATTCAGTGGGGAGAGTGTATATTCAATATACAAAGCAATGTTAATTCAACAAAACTTAGTGGCCTGTCACCCATGCTCCTGACTGTCACTGTGATGAGTACTTTCCCTTGATGTGATTTATCCCATTGTTTTTCCCACAGCTCGATTGAGGCAATGGTCATAGCCAACTACAAGTAGACGAGGATGAACTCATGAATATTAAAGATCTTGGACTTTGAACTCAACACAACTATTGTCTAGGCACAATGACGTCAAGGCAAGCCGTGGTTCTAGCGGACTATGTTCCAGCCTAGTCTCTCAGCCTGACTGTCTGTATCACCAGTGTGGACACATTGGCAGGTGGGTACAAAAATGTCATTGCTTTGGGGCCGTGTCAATTTGGAGCATGTATTTTGGACTTGGCTTATTCAGTGTTTTCTGGTTTCTAGAAGGAAGAAACTGCATGAGCTCCATTGAGCCTTCTGCGAAAAGTTTGAGTAGTTTGTATATATTGGAGGTTTAACCTCCATTTACATTTATCCGCTGGGTTAATACCTACATCCACCACTTTCAAAAACAGTGTAGTTGAGCTTGAGTATTGCAGCACCCTCCAGGTATACATAGTTTAGTTATGCAGGAGTGCAATAGTGATACTATACACTAGACATATATTGGATTGGAGATCTCTTTAGATATATTTTTTTAAGGATACACTTTGGTACGTGACCTGTCAGAATATGTTAATAGATGTAAGATGTCTAACCCTCTGAAGACTGGGAACAACAGACGATAAACTGGATAGTGAGTGAGTGAGTGAGTGATGTTGCTGCCAACTTTGAATTGGCCCTGGCACTGGGTGGAATATGGACCCATTTTATCTTTTGTGTGTGACTGTTGACTCATTCCAACAAGCAGTCATGGTCTGTGTGGCAGACTGTATTTGAAAGGAATTAATTAGTTCTAGGCCGTACCATTTAATTAGATTAATGAACAGTGGTGTTTTGTTACTGTTGACATTAGCCACCTTCCCACACCTGCCTGTGGAATGAAAAACAAATCAGTGCCAACTTTTTTTGGGGGGGGGGTAAATTGTTATCTTTTTTAATGCATTTTAATCTCAAAACAAGAGTCCATTGGACACAAATGTGTTGTGCCGGCAACATCAAAACAACTTGCAACAAGTAAAGCAAATGCTTCTATTATTAAATGATGTTGAAAATGTGCTAAGGAATATCTGACAGATTTCTTGAAATTGTATTGGATCTCTTTATTAAAACACCAAAAGCTGTCATTCTTGTCTGCATCTTTTCAGGGTTTGGTTAGGAATGAATATGATATTAACTCATTGGTCAGACTATGAAAAACCTTTGTGGGAAAGTAGCAAGATGTTGCTTTCAAACAAACAAAATTTTATACAAATTTTGGTGATCCATAATGTTTTCATCTGATATAGCAAAAGATGCCTGACAAAGAATAAATATTTCACTGGTCTCAACATAAACTACATTGTACGAATGCCACCGTGGATATTACGAATTTGGTGATCCATAATGTTTTCATCTGATATTGCAAAGATGTCTGGCAAAGAAATAAATATTTCACAGGTCTCTTACATAAACTACATTGTACGACTGCCACTGTGGATTTGCACTGTTGCCAGACAAGGATGCTTGACCTGCCAATGCAATCCACATATATTTTTTCTGGAACACTGCCTAAATAGGTCACTGTGGAAACCTAAGGAGCTCAGAAAGACAGGGACTTGTTGGAGGCCATTTGTGATGAATAGCATTAGGATTATGTTCTTAGATTCATTTGTACAGCATAATATAATCATAGGTCGATGCCCTTTTTAAATATGAAATTTTTGTGTCAATATTTTTCAAGCATGCACACTGATTTGGCAAGTAGACCTTAGATTTTGGAAGGAAGCAGAATAATGCCATGTAATACGGAGACACTCTGATGATTTCATCTCTACTAACGAACCCAAATATATGCCTTGAACAGCCTTTTGTATTGATTTTTGTGTCATGAAAGATGTGCACCTAATAGAGATAAGACGTAACCTTTGAATCAATCCCTTTAGTAATCATTTGACTGTTTGCATAGTCAGGTGACCAGACCCAAGCCAATGGACCACAATCATTTGCTATTTCCTTCGTACTTCAAACCTTGTCCAGCATCCGTGACATAGACTCATTTCAGTGTCCTTGAGGATTGCTGATTCGGCCTAGCAAAAATCCCATGCAGCTGCCAGGTGGCCCCAGACCACACTATATGAGCAGTGTCAGTTTTGGGTCCAGGTAAGTTGAACCATCCTACAATTGAATCTCTTCTCAGTCGCTGTAAAGATGAACCTGCTGTTTACCACACAAGACAACAGGGAGAAAGGTAGTGTCAGCCAATTTATTTGCATTTCATCAACAATCAGATAATACAACATGATTTGCCTCCCAGAATGGCTTTTTGTATTTTGCAAGGTAGCCATGTCCTTTGCGTGGCGTGTGGGGGATAGAAAATATAATTATTTCTATAGAGAGAAATGTATCCTCTCAGTTGGGAGCCAATTAGAAGGCGATAACATCATCATTCTATGACGCCTTGATGGTTGAACGTCTTTGCAAGATCTAGAGGACAAGGTGATTATAGAATGCTGCAAGGAAAATGAATGATATAATCATACTTGCTTCTTGCAAAGATTATTTTAAAAGCTTTCTCTGCAGGCTGCATGTTGCTCTCACAGGTCAGTTGTTAAAAATCAATATCATAATACAACTTCTTCCAACTGAAAAAAAAATTGAAGATCTTTCATTAGCTGTTGTCCCATTTATTTGTCTGGGTTATCCAGGGGTATGTTTCAAGAACTATACAGGGTAAATAGATGTAGTTTTATCAGGAATTCTGGGTGTGTTTGTGGTTTTTTTGGTGTGTGTTTGTGTGTGCTTTTAACAGCCTTCGGAACAGAATTCGAGTTTAATTCCGGACTAATTCCCATCTCAGCAACCTTACATCTAGATGGGCTAAAATTGTAAACTATATGCAAAAATTATATAAGAAATACGTATATGTAGCAGCTATCAAGGACCCCTTGGGGATTAACCCTCTGCAGAATCCTGGCTCCAGTTCCCAGAATTCTGGCTCCAGTTCCCAGAATTCTGGCTCCAGTTCCCAGAATTCTGGCTCAAGTTTCCAGAATCCTGGCTCAAGTTTCCAGAATCCTGGCTCCAGTTCCCAGAATTCTGGCTCCAGTTCCCAGAATTCTGGCTCCAGTTCCCAGAATTCTGGCTCAAGTTTCCAGAATCCTGGCTCCAGTTCCCAGAATTCTAGCTCCAGTTCCCAGAATTCTGGCTCCAGTTCCCAGAATTCTGCAAAATTCTGCAGAATTGGGTTAGTTCCCAAGGGGTCCTCAATGGTCGTTATTGTTACATACTAGTATGTTTAGTTTAAACTGGAATTCTAGAATTAAACTAAAGGCTGTTTTGTGTGTTTGCACATGGGTGGGGGTAACTCATCAACCACAGACCACAAAAGGCCAGACAGAGGAATTCCAAGTTAGGTCCCAGAAGCTGGCTGGGAGCCAGCAGGAGTTGGGTCCAGTCACTCAAAACCAAGGATCATGTGACTAGGGTCTGCTATTTCAAATGTTTATGTGGAGCTGCCTGAAGTTTGTACAGTGCAAAATCTTTGCAGACATTCAGGCCGAATCAGGGGACTTCTCTTTGAGCATGTTTGCAGTGGTGGATTTAGCTCCTGTTGTGCAAGGGCTGATATTTTTCAGGATGTAACATTTGCTAAAAAGACAAGTTGCGATTGCCATGGGGCAATGAAGTGAGACCTTCTTCAAGGTGGTTTGGAAAGGAATTTTTAGCAAATCTGATTAATTTGGACTGGTCACTTTCCAAAAATTGAATCAGTTACGTTTGATGTTTTCTGAAATGGTTTGATGCTCAAATTGGTTCAATTTTTTGAATGTCAATGGGAGGTGCTGTTGTGTGTTATACCATTACTATAAGGCAGGCTTGAAATTAGTGTCAGGAAACACCTGCACTCGCAAATCCAATTGCGACTATGAGATGAAATTGGAATTTATATGAGAGATGGATGACTGTAGGTAGATCTCTTGGCTTAGTTAGTAAATGGGGGAAATTTTAGAACATACTCATGTATTAAGCTTGGTGGTAAAGAGAAGAATGTCTTAGAATAGTTTTTCATATCTTGGAAAATCAATAATTTTTGTCTGTAAAAATGTGTTGGAGGTATGTCATCAGAGCACTGGGTAAAGAGTGTAATGCATTTTCTTCAAAATCAATATTTCTCTATACCATATCAAGTCACAAAGGCCAGCTGTATACACAAACATGCAGAAGTAGAGGTATGAGGAGGCTGAACGACCTCTTGTGCTAGCCTTTGGATCGATGAGTGCCCTGTACATAATGTCTGAACCTGCCTGGAATTATGTAACTTATAGAATTATCCTTTATCGATTGAAAAAATAATGAAGACGTATTATCTATAATGTGGTGAGATATCTAATTGCGTCAAAGGCAATCAATCTAATCACGCTTTCTTTAGTCTTGGTACAGGGCTAGAATATTAATTTTATTATTTTTACCTTACATTATTTTACCTTAGGTATTATTCTAGGTTGGTATCTTATTCCTCTTTTGCAGTTCCAAACAAATAAGTACTAGAGGTTTTGTTTTTGGCGGGTTTGTCAGTTTGCTTGTACAGGTGTGTCCGTAGTAATTTGAATACAATACAGTGACAGGAAGTGAGGGGGAAATAGTGACTAACAGGAAGGGCACTCAAAATGGTCTCCCCACAGGCTGGGAGGAAGTGAATGACACTAAGCTAGCTCATTTCAGTGTCTTCAGTTTCCTGCTATATTCATATGATATCTTTTGTCTTATATGGAACCCAGTGGAAAATAGCAGCAAGAAATTCTCAATAATGAATAAAACAAGACATTTATAATATTCCCTAATATTTTACAGACCTGTAAAATCTTTGAATTCTTGTTTCTCGTGGGTATTATTACAAATAAAATACTGTGGGATGATTGGGAATTTTGAGAGAGGACAGACCTAGAACTAGAGGGACATGGTAAATCCTGAAATCCCACCTTTTTCAATGGTAATGTCAAGGTCATGTAGCTGCTTTGTAGTTCCATATTAATTATAGATGATATAATAATCTCTAGGGAATGGGGCTGGAAGATGATATCTCTAACATTTTGTAGTCATTCGATTCCTCTACCATGTCACTTTTTGTCAGCTGTTAGGATACCTGTACCTTCTCCCTGCTGCCTTATCCCGTAACCAATAGAGAATTGGTAGCCAAACAGCTACTCTTCACTGTGCTAAAGGTTAAGATTTTTTCTTTCAATCCATTGCCGTTACTTCACTGACGTTTTGATCCATGTCCATAATTATTGGCGGATGTCGTGCCTAGTAGTACTTTCAACCACATTATGCAATGATCCATTGTTGTAAAGAGTCTTTGGGGAGTACTTAAGGTCACAACCTCCATGAGCAATATACTGTAAACCTTTTTGCAGGCCTCTTCACCACGAAATCATGACACTGCAGATATGTCATGTTTGTGCTACAGTGTTGTTCCAACTGCAACTGTAAAAAAATTTACAGTACTGGTTAGTTGCAACCACTTTCTTGCTGTGAATTTGCTTGTTTTCGTGGATATAGCTCAGTAAGAAAGTCTTTAAGATACGACTGTATCAACTAGTGGTGCATACCGGTTCACTGGACTTGGATCCGGACTTGTAAGAATGTTTAGGTTCAAGTCCAAAAAAAACTAAAAGTCAAGAACCGAGTCCGGACTTATTACCATAAAAGACCATTTCACATACCAATTTTCTTTCCAAACCACCTAAAACCTTCCGTAGACTGCAAAATCTTTGATGCTTGATGCTGCAAAATGAAGAAAACATTGCCATCGGGCATCGTCAAGTACCGGCCTCCATGTTATGTGGCCAAAGTTTCACCCACTCAACATTGCAAGGTTGCCAACATGCAATTTTGTATATGCCATGGGTTTAGGTCCGGACTTACAAGTCCGGAACTGAACCTAAACCTCTGGACTTGAATCCGGACCTGAACCTAAATGTGGGTTTAGGTATGCACCACTAGTATCAACCCATGCATGGACAATTTGTACTTTCAAATCAAAGTATCATTTGCACAGCCTATGTATTATCAAGTGTGTTCTTCCAAAAGAAGATCTGATGGTTAAACAGTAGTTAATGTCTCCTAACTTGATCTGACGTTAGGCAGCCTAGTCTTTATCCACGTCTAGTCCAGTAAGTTCTGTGCTTGTGTTGAGATAATCCTGATGGATTCCCATACAAGGGCGATGCATCATCCCTGCACAAAGTGTCAAACCTGCCAGAAGTAACAATAATTGCTGTGCCAAGGTGAGAGGGAGTCATTCCCCTGGGCACCAGACAGGATTGTGTTTGGGAGGAGAGGGAGGGGAGACAAAAGACCAAACTGTGAGTGCATTAGAATGTACCAAAAATGATAGATCTAAAATTGTTATTTTCCAGCCTTATGTTTTAGGACAGTCACTTATTCCACACCTTGTAGGTTTTTAATAGTAAACCCTAGCTGTGCCTCTTTTATTGCTTGCATTTTGAACTCTAGACTGTGCACTATCACTTCTGATTGTCAGTGTGGGTTGAGGGGGTAAGATTTGTGAAGCAAAGCTGTTTGGTACATGTTAAGAGAGATTCATATCTTAAGCACATTAAAAGCCTTGTCACTCTCATGTTTAAAGCCCAGGATCCTACATCTAATGGAAGGGGATCAGTGCTCAAACCTGCTGCAAGTGCTTCGGTGTCTGGTGCATTTACAATGTACCTGCTGTATTCAATGGCTGTATTTACATCAGTGATTACATAGCATTTTGGCTGTGATTCAGTACGGATGAAGTAGGTAGCTACCCCCAAATCACAATGCACCAGAGGGGAGCACATATATATTTATTTATTTATTTTTTGTCCTGCTGTTTGAATTGTAAGAAAATGGTACATCCCAATGGTACTGTCAATGGTACTGAAAACATGGCTGTTACTGGCAGATGTAAGATTTGGAAACTGTCAATTCTGTATTGTCACAAAAACACATAGACAAGAACACACACAAATACACACACATGAGCGCGCACACACACAAGCACACACACATGCATACACAAATGCACAGGCACACTCATGCAAACACAAATACATGCATAATTGCACACACAAACTATAATACACAAGAATACACACAGAAGTGATTATGCCAGCATATACATAATTACTTTCCCTAGTCACCTTTTGCAGAGATACCAAGTATGTAGACTTTGACATTTACGCCTTGTGAACCCAAATACTGAAATACTTAACACCTGCTGACAGTGCAGGGGAGAGCTAGTCATCCGAGAAATTACACGTGCCTCAATGATGATATCTAAATACATGTCCTCCATAGAATTGGTTTGAAGGGCAAATGTTTATGGATGATAAGTACATGTAAGTAGCATTTGCATGTTTTATTACAACCTGGCATTTCTCAGTAAGTATAGAAACCAGACAAATGCCCAAGAGAAGTGAAGTGCAGTGAAGGACTGTTAAGTGTCACCTTTGTCTATCTAAGCAAACCACTTGAAATCATGCTTAACACAACAGCTTTTAAGACACCCTGCAATTTGTCCTGCCTTTAATTGTAAATGACTGACCCATGTACATTTATAAAAAAATTTTTTAAAAGAGTTAAAAGTTTAATGTAATTTTCTTGTTCCCTCTGCAGTGCTATGTTGAAGGCAGCCCAGCGCCTGGGGCTGGGTGTGGTGATCATCACAGTTCTCTCGCTGCTGTATTTTATACTGATGACACAATCTGCTGTGAAGCTTATCCACCCCCGGTAAGCACAACAGTTCAATATGTTATCAAGGTAAACAATATGGAGAATGAAATGAACTGTCATGATGGCAGTCTGGGATACAAAAGGGTTACTAAAAAGTGGAAAAATGTTAACACATCATTATCTGCTATCATGGGGAGAGACAATAACTACTTGGAAAGGTAGGGCTGCATCCATGTACAGGAAGTGTGGTGTCTGTGTTATACCTCCTGTCACACATTCAGGACCTACAACCAAGGTCAGCACTGTTGGGAGTAGCCTGGAATCTATCCTACTCCAGCTCCAGTTTCCTCCTCTGAAGTCTTATCACATCGAAGCAGAATATCATGACTTCCCTGACTGATTTTTATAGTACATGTATGTATAGTCGGCTGGTGCAGATAGGCAACCACGACCAACCACAAATGACCTTACTCGCGGCTACAATACACCTAACCATGGTCTGGCGAGGGCTGGGAGGCCATGGTTGGCTTATGTGTGACAGGGGCTGTACATAATATTTCAGAGTGTTCTTACCATTGAACATAATGAAAATAATATTTATTATCATGATTATGGCCTCTTTTTGTGATTAATATAAAACTGCAGCTTACAGCTCTGTGTGCTGCCCCTTGAAATGAAAAAGATTGTTGATGCCATAACAAAATGTTTAATACAAGCATACAATTATCAATTGATTTGCATTAGCTTTGTGATGACTGTGTCTGAAAATGCTGCTTACCTTTGGACTGTCCCAGCAGATAAGATATTAGGAGGCAAGACAGGGAGCAAGAATTAATAATGCAAGTTAACATTTTAACTACAAAATGTATCAAAATAATAAACACTGATGGATAGGGGAGTCATTTTCAAACCTCTGTCTTTTCTCCTGTGTTGTTTCCTGGAACAGACCATATCTGCATGCTTATGGAGTATTACTAAATATTCCTGTGTATATCTCTGGCTTATGTGCAAAATGGTCCAGTTCCTTCTGTTCTTTCTTTCGAATTCTCACAATTCTGAAGATAAAACGTCTAAAACTTTCACCTAAAGCTCAGTCTTACAACTTGAAATACAAGAAGAGTCACTGAAGAATTCTTATTCAGGGCTCAAAATTCTGGTACACCTAGCCTAAAAATTTAGGTGCACAAAAAAGATTTTGGATACATAACATGAGATAATTTTGTCAGCAAAACCTTGAATCAGAGCTTGAATCTGAAATTCTGTTTCACAACAAACTTTGATTTTTTAAAGTATAATCTTCTACACAAATATCTAGGTGCACCTGTGCATTTACAGTCAAACATTAAGTGCACAGCTCCTATTTTGGGTGCACATACAATGTAGGTGCACATGCACCCAGTATTTTGAGCCCTGTTATCAAATATGGTCAGATTACCCTGGCACTTGTTCCCTGTTTGCTACAGGTTGCACAACAGCTCCAGATTGATACACAGGAACGCTTCGTTACTGCAGCTCACACAGCGCTTGAACCTTGTAACAACTACTGTTGTGCCTAATAAGACAAGCAGTGCCCAGAAGAACAATACTGACGTTAGCATACACAGCAAAACTGTCACACAAACTGTTTCCAGACACCCGCAGAAGACGGCTCCCGTGGACGTGGTGGCATTAGGAAGACATTTTAACAGAACATGGCAACAAAATGACAAAGCCATT